ATGTGCCTGCACATAGGAGGCATCTACCTGCTACGATTTCCTTCCACTAAACAATCAGATGTTCCACGGGGCGTGTGTATTCATGGGCATTTTTAAGCATCATAGTTTGAAAGGCAGCTTATTCTCGTGCCTGGGATGGACCAATGCATGACATCAGCCAGTAGCACTGCTCACTCAAGAGCCCTGATATGGCTCCAAATCCCTCAGCTGCAGGAGGTAGAAGAGAAACCCTCCTGGGCTCAGGACTACAGCTGTCACCATGGGCAGTTTCCCAGGACACCGTGACCCTCACTCACTCCTCATGGTGGGAGAGGCGGGCACAGCCCGGCTCCCACCTGCGCCAACCCCTCTCCATTCTCCACTAAGGTTTCTTTTGTTTGGCAGCCAGCATGCTTGGGGCTATATTTAATGTTGAATCACATTCTTCTGGGCCCTCTTGATGTTTATTTTTCCTTCCCTTTAAGAATTTTCTCATTCTACGTTTCTATTTTAATCAGTACACATTCTTCATCGAATGCTCTCGAGTGCATTTTTGGCTTTAAAAAAAAAGCCATTTTAACTGGAGATATCAGTGCTGTTTAGGGCTGTTGTACATAGGGTCGCTATGAGTCGCAAACGACTCGACGGCACATAACAACAACAACAACATCAGTGCTTAGCCAGTGTGTCAGACTGGGTACAAAGTCTTGATCAGAGAACTGTTCAAACACGTCCTTCAGGTTTTCTCAGGTTCTTCTTCTCGGTGCCTCGTTCTTCTGAGCCACCCTCTCTCCCCCCTCCAATTTCTAATCTGACTTGTGTTCCCTCTTTCTTTTTTCTCTGCCCTCATGTCTAACCCACCTCCACCCTTCAAGTCTCAGTTTAAGGTTAACTTTGTTCTTCACACACATTTCCTCAAACCCAGACTTGGTAGCGTTTTAACATTTTCAAAGCTCTGGGTTCTCAGACCAGCGTCAGCTCCTTCAAGGAGCCGGAGACTGGGAGCTTCTGCTGCTTAAAAGCAACTTCTTGCTTCCTTCAACATGAACGTCCTTTGCAGCCAAGGTCCAAGCACCAAGATCTCACCTCCGCCTACCCATGCTGCATTCCTCTCATCTGACATCACTGCTTTGTGGGTTCCGTGATTCAGCTCTCTTAGGATCTCATCCTTCACCCAAATCATACAGGATTTCCCCAAAGTGACAATAAAAACCCAAGAACTCCCCATTTGCTGTGGTTTTCATAGCAGACTCTTGATGCCAGAGTTAATTCAGGGCGTCGGTCTCTGCTAAAGTTGCTGAAACTCTGCTCACATTTTCTGAAGAACAGAGCGTTTGACAGCAGGACCTCCCTTCTGAGGGACGGAAGAATAAACGTTATTGAGGTAATAGATAGATAGATAGATAGATAGATAGATAGATAGATAGATAGAAACCAGTACCACTAACTGGTTCCAAAAGCTTATCATCCCCTCAAACAGAAACTGGGTGAACCCCTCCTCAATAATTCCCTACTCCACCCATAAGGAAGACTGAAGAACTGATGTCTTTGAATTGTGATGTTAGTGAAGAGTATTGACTGAATCATGGACTACCAAAAGAACAAAAATATCTGTGCTGGAGGAAATGCATCCAGAGTGTTCTTTATAAGCAAAGATTGTAAGAGTTTGTCTTATATCCTTCAGGCATGCTGTCAAAGGGGCCAGTCCTTGGAAGGGAACATCCAAGGTAAAATATAAGGACAGAGAAAGAAAAGAAGACCCTCAAAGAGATAGTTTGACACCATGACTGGAATAATCAATAGGTGTAAGCACAGCAGAGATAGTGACAATAAAATAGGACAAGATTTCAATTTGTTGTTCATAGAGTTGTGGTGGTTGTTGTTGTTGTTATGTGCCGTTGGTTCAGCTACAACTCATGGCAATCCTATGCACAGAAGCTCTGCATCTCACTCTATCAATCTCACTGTCTCTGACACTCCTACCCTTATCACCCCAGTTACTGTGTCAATGTATCTCATCTGAGGTCTTCCTCTCCTGCGCTGTCCCTCGATCCTTCCAAGCATGATAACCTTCTCCAAAGACTGGTCCTTCCTGGCCACATGCCCAAGGTATAGAGTGGTGGTGGTTGTTGTTGTGTTGTATTGTGCTGTGTTGTTGTTGTTGATTGCATTCAAGTCGAGCACGACTCATAGCGACCCTATGAAAAAAAGGCCTGAAGCCCCTCTACAACTATCAACATTTATCAGTTTGTAGAGTTTCCAGAGGCATGTTGCTTAGGAAGTGGATGCCACTCCTGCTTCCAAAGGTATAGGGCACATACTAGAAAACAACCGTGTTCCTTTACCTGCCCCTGAAAGCAAATGGAGAAAAGACCAAATTTTTATTGAGCAGAGATCAAAGGAATGTGCTTTATTCAGATGCCAGCCATCTGAGAGCATATGGAATGACTTGATTCTCTAAAACTTGTTTTCTGATATCTCAGGATCAAGACGGGCTTTTCACGGGTGTGGCAAAAGGGAGTAGGTAAGGAGAAAGGAATGTGTGAGAAGGGTCCAGTGAGAAGGCCCAGGAGGCCTGATAAGGCTAGGAGTGGGTAAGGAGAAAGGAATGTGTGAGAAGAGTCTGGGAGTCTGATAAGGTTGCTTGTCCCCTGATCCCACTCCCATAAGGTTTGCCAGGGGTCTTGTGTTTTATGTTCAAGGGAGGTGGTCCTCAGGCTTTCTCTCAGGTAATATATTCTTCAAATAAAGTCCGTTGCTCATGCAAGAGTGATTGGACTATAAACTCTTAGTTTCAGCAGTTATCCCTCTATTTTTACAATACTGGTCTTATGTAGTATTTGTCCTTCTGAAACTGAGTTAGTTCACTCATCATAATGCTCTCCAGTCTCTCCCAAGTTACGTAGTTATTATCCAAATTGTTGCTCCTGAGTGCTGCATAGTATTCCATTGTGTGAATATACCACAATTTCTCAATCCATTTTGGTTGTGGTTGGACATTTGGGCTTGTTCCCATGTTCTTGCAATTATGAATAACACTGCTATGAACTTCAGTGTACAAATCTCCATTTGTGCCTCAGTTCTAACTTCCTTGAGGTATATTCCTTGTAGTGAAATGCTAAGTAGAACATGTATGGGAATCCAAGGAGAGAAGGGATGGGAGCAGAGGTGTGAGGATGGGTAGGGGCTAAATCAGAGGGAAGGGGTAAAGGAAATGGGAAAGATCAGTGGAAACCTGAAAAGACAGGTTAATGGTAGACACAGCCCAATGGTGATTAATTTAATAAGACATAACGAATGGGAATGATGGTAGGAAACATAATGTGAATGAAGAATAGTGTGAAACATAATGTATACTAACTTTGTAAGTAAATCAAACTAAAACAAAATTTTTTAAAAAATCTTTAATTTCTAGAATAACAACATCACAACCATGCAGACTAATGGACCTTATATAGGCTCCTATTCACTCCACAGTGCTAAAGAGCAAAGATGAAGTCTAAGGTACACCTGATCCAAGCCATAGTCTTTCCAATTCTAAGGCATCTAAAAGTTCGACAATAAATAAGAATGACAGAAGAATTCAAAGAATGACTTTGAATTGTGGTGTTAGAGAAGAATACTGCAAGTCCGGAGGTTCAAGTTCACCCAGATGTGCCTTAGAAGAAAGTCTTGGCATTCCACATCTGAAAAATCCGGTGAGACAGAATCAACTCTAAGGCAACTGTTTCCTCTCTGCTGTCACTGGCTTTGGTGATTTATTGGGTAAGGAGTTGTGCTGCCAACCCAGAGGCAAATGGTTCAAACCCATCAGCTTCCCTGAAAGAGAAAAATGAGTCATTTCCTTCTATTCCTCTTACATACAGCCTCTGTAACCCTGCTGGAGGGTCAGCTATTTTACATAAAGCCTCTGAAAGCCTGCGAAAGGGTCAGCTATGATTCAGTTTCTACTCCACAGCAATGAGCGAGTGAGTTCCGTCAGCCGGCGCAGCACTCAGCTCTCTTATCTGGGGTAGCCAGGAGGACAGCTGTTGAAAGGCAGCGGGGGAAAGCAAAGGTGGGGTGCAAGAGTGGGGGAGGAGAAAAATACTTCCCGTTTTTTTCTTTCAGCAGCTTAAGACATAAATACTGGGAGTCTGGTGGAGTCTCGGCATTTCAGTGGGACTCCGAGAGCTGCCGGCTGGCTGGTGGGTCAGCACCGGCAGGAAATGAGCCGAGCCCTTTTCCCTTGCCCCTGACTAAAGAGAAGACAGCAGGCATTCCCACCGCCCCAGGACCGAGGATCAGAGGTCTGGAGACCTTTCCCTTCCGCCCAGGAGCTCAGTCGAGTGGTAAGTCAGCTAAGCTTCTGGTCTGCTAGGTCCATGCTGATAACAGCGCGGTTTCGCTTTTGCAAACATTTGTTTATATCCCTCAAGACAAGGACATCTCAGCCTGTCATAGGAAGCCGCTTCATGGGCGAGCAAACATTTTAAACCTGTGTTAATTATGACCTGCACCAATTTTGGCGGGGGTTCTCTCTCATTGTCTGTTTTCTTACAGGTTATCTTCAAATATGTAATACTGCATTTGCATCCCCCAAAAAAGATCCCTTTAAATTCTGGGAAGACATTGCCATGCTTGCTTTTCATTCCCCCAGCGGTCCCTAGCACACTACCAAGCATATTAAGTGTTAAATGACTCTGGTAGTTAAACTAGCCGCCCTGGGAGGGTTAAAGCAATGTTTATTTTTAACCTTCTGAGTTGTAAATCAACTCTGACTAAAATTAAGCACCAAGAAAGGACAAGATAGCCGTCGGGGTACTAGCTGCTCAAGTGACTCCTTGGAGAAGCCCTGGTGACCTGTTCTGTAAAGATTACAGCCTACAAAACATCACAGGTCACGAGGATTCAGAAACAACTCAACAGGCCCAAACAACACTCATAGGAATTTCAGTCCTGATTTTTGCTTCCTCCAAAGCAATCCAGCTGGATGAAAGGGGGAATAATAAACTCTCCCTTTTCCACAGGGCAACCCGAGGATGGATAATTATACATCATCCCCCGTTTACGAAGACTATGAGATCCTCATCTGGGACGGTCCGAAGTATGACGACTCGTATGTGTCAAATGTCATATGTGACAAATATGACCCCGCAGTTCTCAGGACCCAGCTGATTCCAGGGCTGTATTTCACCATATTCGTCGTCTGTCTTCTGAGCAATGTCTTGATGGCATTTATCTTGATAAAACATAAAGGACTCAGACATATGGAGAATATCTATTTCCTGAACTTGGCCATTTCCAATTTGCTCTTCTCGCTCACCTTGCCCTTCTGGGCTTCTGCTGCCTCCCGTGGGGGGCCTCTTGCAGACCCCATGTGTACTCTCCTACTTAGCATCTATGTGATAGGCCTCTACAGTGAGGTGTGTTTCATGTTGTTGCTGGTGGCACATCGGTACCTGGTGTTTTCTCCAGCATCTAGCATTCCCTGGGCAACCCGGCCAGTGCCCTGCGGCATCTTCACCAGCATCCTGGGGTGGACGGTGGCTGTTCTGGTCACCTTGCCTGAGTCCACGATTTATAGACTACAGAAGGAAGGACGAGAAAACGAGTGCTCCCAGAGCAGACCTCATCTTCTACCTGCTGAAGAGACCTTCTGGAAGCGCTTCCTGACCTTGAAGGTGAACATTCTGGGATTTCTCTTTCCACTGTTTATTTTTCTATTTTGCTCTGTGCGAATGAGGAAAGTGCTCCGGTTCCGGAGCAGCAGGGACGACCTTTCCAAGCTTGTTTTTGCCATCCTGGCTGTCTTCCTGGTGATGTGGGCACCGTACCTCATTGCAATTTTCCTGTTGACTTTCAAAGAAGCTTTCTCCCTCGGTGACTGCCAGAGCCGATACAGCCTGGACCAGGGTGTTCAGATAACGGAGATCATTGCCGCCACCCACTGCTGCATCAATCCCCTCCTCCATGCGCTCTTTAGCCAGACCTGTAGGAAAGGCCTGTGTCACTTGCTCTGTCTCAGTCACAGTTCTCCTGTGCCATGAGGCAGGATGTCCACACGAGACACGTTCCAGGAGCAGCACGAACATTTCACTAGGGTATGAGCCAGCTGCCAGCAGAGGCGGGATAAATAAATGTTGACTTCCGTTGCACCATTTTGTGTAAATTTTTTATACATTTGGGAGGTCTAGTGGCATAGTCTGGGGAGAGATGGGTTGCAGCTCAAAGACTGTGCCTCCTGAGGCTCTCTGGGGGGCAGATGGATGATCTTTCCTACTGTGACTTGTTGTTATGTGCCGTTGTTATTTGCGACTCATAGTGACCCTATGCACCCTGCTCTATCCTGTGCCAATTGCATTGCCTCTGACACACCCATCCCAATTACCCCAGTCACTGAATCAATCCATCTCATAGAGGGTCTTCCCCTCCTGCACTGTCCCTCCACTCTAGCCAGCATGATGTCCCTCTCCAAGGACCCGTCTCTCCTTGCAACATGTCCAAGGTATGTACTGTGACTTAGAGCCCCACAAAATCCACTGGAAGGTCACTAATCAGAGCTAACGATGTCTGTGAGTGATAGAAAGTAAGGTAAAAGGAGGGGAGGAGAGGCTCTGAATGAGCAAGTCCCAGGCATCCCGCTGCTCTCTTTGCCCTTCCGTCTGGGGTGTGGATGGAATGATTCTCATCTCTGAGAAGGGAACTGAGGTTCAGACATCTGCTCAAGATTGCTCAGCTAGCCAGGGGCAGCACTGGCACATAAAAGCTGCCACCGATCCCAGGGCCTCTGCTTTGCCCCGTCCTCTAGACAAGCCAAAATGTGGACAGCAGAGAAAGCAAATAAATAGATGGTTTCCAAGCCAATTGGATCACAATCCAAATGAAAAACAATTCCTCACAAACATCTCAGTCAACACAAAGCTGTGTTTTCTTTTTATGGGATTTTACAACCATTTCCTTTCGGTTCTATGGAGAATGGTTCTCATCCAAATGTTGTGATGATGATGATGGTGGCGATATGGACGTGTACATCAGTGTTTGGTTTTGTGATGATAATGGTTTAGGGGAAAGTTTGCAAGTTTGCTGAGCAGATTCGTTTTCCATTCTGTCATTTTTCCATTTCGTCGTAGTAACAGCACTCTCTCTCCTTCCTCCCTGGTTTCCGGTTTCCAGTCGTCCTTCTTTCTTGCCCCTTCCTGTGTTCTGAGGTCTGTTTGGTGGCAACTGCTTCTCTTTGGTCTCACCTGGTTAGTTTGTCAGAAGTGGTGGTGTTCCGGTTAATGGGTGTTTGCTGGCTACAATTTAGGAGGTCCCACCAGTTTCTGTCAGAACACTCAGTCTGGTCTTTTTGTAATTTCAAATGTTGTTCTAGCTCCTTCCCCCCAGCCCGGGACCTACTGTGATCCTTATCTGAGCAGGTGGGAGGGCTAACGAAACACCTCCAGTTCTTCTAGTCTTAGGCCAGCAGATATTGTGGGTTTTTAGTGCTTTGGATTAACTGTTTGCTTGTGTCTTTGATTTTCTTCACCCCTCTTTGCTTAGGATAAGATAGATCAGTGGTTGCACCTGAGATACCTGCTCACTAAGCTTGTAAGATCCATTTGCTACTCATCACAGTAGGATGTAGAATATTGTCACTGAGAACTCTGTGATGCCAATCAACTTAACTGTCCCCTAAAACTGTGGTCCCAAGCCCTATATCCAGTGACTCATTCCCAAAAGGTGTTTGGTTATGACTAAGACGTTTTCCTAACTTTGTCCCACTTGCTCTATTCTTTTTTCCCCCTTTCCTCTTTTTTAAATTTTATTATTATTATTATTATTATTATTATTATTAATTTTAATGAACATTTACAGAGACTTAGAGTTTCCATTCATTCATTGTTGAACTTTTCTCCCTGCCCACCCCCTCCCCTCCAGTTCGTTCTTCTCTTTGAAAAGTAAAAGAAAAATTCTTTCATTGGTATACAATCCCTCCCCCCAGGTCCACTCCACTATGCAGCCTGCATTCTGAACTCCTGTCATGACAATAATACCTAATCACATATACCTTTTAAACAGTTTTCTCTCTCATCTGTTTCTATAGCACATACAAACATGCATATAGAAACATTCTCTGCTGCCCTCCGCGACGGCAGCCCTAGACCTGCAGCAGCCATGGCTGTGCACTACCCCATGGCTTTGGGTCTCAACAGGGGCCACAAAGTCACCAAGCACATGAGCAAGCTGAGGCACAGCCGCCATGGGGGCCTCACCAAGCACGCCAAGTTCATGAGGGACATGATCCAGGAGGTGTGTGGCTTCACGCCCTACGAGCATCATGCCATGGAGCTGCTCAAGGTCTCCAAGGACAAGCGGGTCCTCAAATTCATCAAGAAAAGGGCCACACATCACGCCAAGAGGAAGCAAGAAGAACTCAGCAATGTCCCGGCCGCCATGAGGAAGGTGGCTGCCAAGAAGGACTGAGTGTGCCCCACTGTCCCCCAAAGCCCTCACCCATCTGGTGTAATAAAGAGAAAGAAAGAGAGAGAGAAAGAGAGGAAGGAAGGAAGGAAGGAAGGAAGGAAGGAAGGAAGGAAGGAAGGAAGGAAGGAAGGAAAGATTGACTCTTTGTCAAGCCTATCCTTATTGGTAGGTATCGTCCCATTCACTTTCCCGTACCTGTTCAGCTTACATCTGCCTATGCTTCTACCCATAGATTATTGTTTGTAAGTACTGATATTGCAGAAATGTTTATGAATCATATTTACCTTTGTTCTCTGTAGGACACTGTGTAGGTGAACTCTTTAGCAAATTGCAGTACTAACCAAATGTCCCAGAATTTCTAGGAGTTTGAAGTCACCAGTCACCCAATGGGAGAAAGCTGGGCAGTCTCCTCTCATTGTGAGTTACAGCGTCAGAAACCAAATAAAGGGTCACTACTCATGGGAACCAACTCAACATCTAGTGTTGACTAAACTCTTGACTAACCACTCCTTATATACATATCTATTATTGATTAGTGATTTTCTCCCCTTTCCTCCCATCTTTAGTAACCATCAAAGACTATTTCTGTATGTCAACATTTCCTCCACTTTTTCAAACTATGGTCTTATACAATATCTCTGTGACTGACTTGTTTCACTTAGTATAATGTCCAGATCTATCCACATTCTGAAGTGTTTCATAGACTCTTCATTCATTATCTTTAATGTTGCATAGTATTCTGGTGTATGTATATGCCATTTTTTGCTTATCCATTTATCCTTTCATGGACACTTCTGTCTTTTTTATATTGTGAGTAATATTTCTACATGGATGTGCACATATGAATAGATATTCATGTCTATTCATGTCTATTCATGTCAGATCTCATTTCTTTAGGATATTATAAAAATGGTGTAAGCATGGAGATGGTGGCATCTGACCTTCTCAAACTTCACAAGAGGGAAGAATCCCCATCCACAGAAGCCTAAAGCTAGTTATGTGAGGCCAGACACATCTCCATATTCCAAACCTTTCTCCCAATTCTGACACCAAACGTCCCTCCCCTAGGACTCACTACTTCTCTGCTTGGCTTGCTGATTCATTGCAACGATCCGCAGTGTCCACAATTACGGTGCTCTCTAGAGAAGTAACAGATTACAATTCAGGCTCAAGAACAACTCAGGATACGGTCTTCCATCAGGTCCATCTCTTTTCAACCATGCACAAAGGCATGCCTCTCTCTGGTACTCAGCATTTCAACCTTGGCTTCTTTTTTGCTCAGACAACTGTTACTAAACTCTTGTTACTTTTTCATTTAAGTGTCCAGGGCACTGCACACCACTAAGCACGTGTAGACCCCATGATACTCAGCTCTAGCTCCGTGGATAAGCAGACCCAGCTACCCAACAAATGCCTAAAAGTACCCACTCCACTAGTGAGCTACTGCCTCAAATGCACTCTGCTTTCTCACTCTGGGCTGAGTACAGTCCCCTTGTTTTGTATTGGTCTCCAGGTTTGCCACCTGTGCTGCCTCTGTTTTTTCCTCTCATGTCATTTCTCCAGCACTCTGTTTTCTGGTTCTAGGAAATCCACCAGTATCTCCTAAGGAAGCAAATGAGTAGTTAGACTTGTAAAGATTTACAACCTCATAAATCCAATAAAAGGTCATTACGAATCAGAATTGACTCAATACCAAGTGAGTGTGGCTGAATTTTCAGAACAACTAATGAGCCCTGTTAGCACAGTTTATAAGGTGTCAGGTTACTAACTGAAAGGTTGGTGGTTCAAATTTACAGAGGAACTCGCCAGCTACCTGATTGTTGTTTTGTTTTGGGGTTTTTTTGGTGAAGGAAGAGAAGTCTTCTGCCTATTTTTCAATTTGAATGTGTTTGTCTTTTTGTTGTTGTAACATTGAGTTTGCTATTAATTTTGGTGATTAGTTCCTGATCGTTTGTCAAATCTTTTTCCCAGTTCGTAGATCATCTTTTTAACTCTTTTGGAGAAGATATTTTGATACACACAAGAGTTTCATGTTTAGGAGGTCCAGTTGTCCAGTTTACCTTCCTTTGTTTGCGTATTTCTGTTGTCCATCCTATAAACTTCAAGATACAAGGCTGTATCCAGACTGTCACCTACATATTTTGAGTTTGTCAAGCCCCACATTCATCAATGTCATTGTATGATACTGATACGGCATCGTTGTAAGATATTGGTGCAACCCCTTGGAGTAAAGCTCTCTTTGAAGTAACAAGGGTGATATATATAGACATATGCCAATTTGCTGACACACAGCAACCACAATATACATCTCTCTCTCTCTCTCTCTCTCTCTCTCTCTCTCTCTCTCCCTCCCTCCCTCCTTCCCTCCCTCTATCTTTTATTCCTTTCTTATAGTTAGTGAGTTGGAACTGACTCAGCTGACTGTTCAGTGGATTTTCAGAGGCTATAAATTGCACAGGAGGAGATTGTCCGTCTTTCTCCCAAGAAGCAGTTGGTAGATTCAAACTGTCTTTGGATTGGCAGTGCAACTCTTTACCACTAGACCAAGACGTAGAGAAGTCAGCTGTTTTTCACTGAAGAACCCTAAAACCATTCCCAAGGAAATCACAGTTGCTTGCTCTATTCTTGGACTCTAGACCACCAGACATCATACTCAGAATTGTAAGAGAAAGGAGTTAGACTATGAGTTAGACACGGTTCAACTCCCAGCTGCAGGTAGTTGATCAGATACATGACTCAAGTGGTCCAAGTCCTGGCTGCAGGTATTTGGTCAGTTATATGACTACAGTGAAAACAATTTTAGAAAAGGCAAAGGACATTTTATTCAGGAGAAAAAATCAACAGCATTTCTTATTTTATTTCTTGCACCGATGACAGTGGGAAATTGTGAAAACAGGTGGATTGGCGAACTCCATCCTCAGGAAGGGAGGGCAAAGGCCGCTCATTGCCAGGGCTGGTTTTGAGCGTAGTGAAGGCTGAGGCTTCTGGGAGGCTGGTCCCGCTGGGTTCTAGGCCCTGAGGAAAGCACAGGCTTCCAGAAGCGCTGTGGGAAACAAGAAAGGAGGCGATTCAGAAACAATCTGCTGCCAGCTCCATGCAGACGGCTTTTGCTTCCTTTTCTTTTCTCTGAATCCAGTTCAATAAGACTTTTTTAGTTAAGCAACCAGTAACTGAAGGATCATGTCTAAGCAGAGAATTTCCCTTCTCTCACCCACCGCACTAGGTAATGCTTGACATTCTCATGTTTTACGACTACTGCCATCACAGGGAATCACTGAGACACAGGTTTCTGACTCTGACCCTCATCCTTGGTCACTCCCACCCGCACAGCCCCAGACCCTAAGCAAGAGACCAGGAATCTAAATGGTCATGTGCAAAGTGAAACCCAGGCATGCTGGGATCTGAGAATCACTGCCTGGAACCAAACCAGAAAAGCAAACCCATTATTTCTGAGCGTGCAGAGTAGAGGCCTCGCCATAGGATTTTCAAGGCCATGACCTTTCTGAAGCAGATTGCATAGCCTTACTCTCTGGCGGCCTAGGGGGTAAGAAACTGAACTGCAATCCTGAAGGCCCCCAGCTTGAGTCCAGCAGCTGCTCCATGGGATTAATTGCTCCTCCTGTGCAATTAACTGAAAACCTGATGGAGGGGCAGCTATGGGTCTGTTCTGACTCGATGGTACTCAACAACAACAACAACTTCCGAGGTGCCTCTGGAGGGGTTCAAACCACCGAAATTTCAGCTAGCAGATGTTATGGTGTTATGGATTGAGCTGTGTTCCTCAGAAAGTCCTGTTATCAATCCAAGCCCCTGTCCCTGTGGTTATAATCCTATTTGGGAATAGAGGGGGGTGTGTGTGTGTGTGTTTTATATTTTGTCAAGGTAACAGTAATAGTTGTAAGAGAGGTGATGAGACATGAAGATCATCAAGGAGCTGAGGAGCAAGGCCTGAAGAGACAAGGACCTTCCCCTAGAGCCGAGAGAGAGACAAGGAATTTCCCTCGAGTCGGTGTCCTGAAGTCAGAAGTCTCACCTTCTAAGCTGAGAAAATAAACCTATCTTTGTCAGAGTTGCTGATTGGCAGTATTTGTTACAGCAGCACTCGATAACTAAGACAGTAGCCACGTGCTAAAGTGATTGTTTTACCCAGTGGTCTTGCCAACACGGTGATGTCTTCTAAATACTTTAAACAATTCTCTCATTTGCATTACATTTTCCAGGCTGAGATGAATTTTTCAAGTTCAAAATATTTGAATATATTGAATTTGTATTCTCTATGGTTATTTATAGAGAGTTCTGGTGGCCTAATGGGTAAAGAACTATACTGCTGATCCAAGGGCAAGTGGTTCAAATCCACCAGCTGCTTCACAGGAGAAAGATGGGTATTCTCCTCCTGTGAGATTTGTTGTTTGCTGTTATGTGCCATCGAGTCGCTTGCGACTCATAGCGACCCTGTGTACAACATCCCTAAACTCTGCTCTGTCCTGTGCCAATCGCACCATCTCCGACACACCCATCCTGATTGCCCCAGTCACTGAATCAATCCACCTCATAGGGGACCTTCCCATTCTGTGCTGTCCCTCCACCCTACCAAGCATGATGTCCCTCTCCAAGGACCTGTCCCTCCTTGCAATATGTCCAAAGTGTGTTAGACGGGGCCTTAGAATCCTTGCCTCAAAGAAGCAGCCCAGTTTGGCCATTTCCAGGATTAATCTGTTTGTTTTCCTAGCAGTCCATGGTACTCTCAATACTCTTCTCCAGCACCACAGCTCAAAGGCATCAATTCGACTATGCAAAGGCGTTTGACTGTGTGGATCATAACAAACTGTGGCTGACTCTGAGAAGAACGGGAATCCCAGAACACTTGATCATGCTAATGAGAAACCTATACTTGGACCTGTGAGATTTATATCCTCAGAAAACCCGCTATAGAGTCAGCTATGAGTCAGTTCTGACTCAACAGCACATAACCACAATAAGGTTGTTATTGGAGTTTCTGGTGATGCAAATGGTTAAAGTGCTCAGCTACTGACTGAAAGTTTGCAAGTTCAACTCCACCAGGGAATGCTTAGGAAGAAAGACCTGGTGATCTAATCTCAGGAAATCGGCCACTGAAGGGCCAGTGGAGCCCAGTACTGCCCTGCCAAGTGCGTGTCACCATGAGTTCAAAATCTACTTGACAACTGACTTCCTACTGCTTATTACTTGGTTTTGTGGAAACTTTGTAGAAACCAGAATTTTTGTCATTTGTTTCTAACCTATTGACTTATTTTTATCTCCTGTTTCACATTGTTAAAGGAAGCGTTATTTGACATGAAGAGGTATTATATTGTCATGATATTTTTGTTAAACCCATCTTCATCTCTGAAGATCCCTGGTAGTGCTCAGCTGCTAACTCAAGGGTTAGCGGTTCAAACCCACCCGCTGTCTCATGGGAGAAAGGCGTGGCAGTGTGTTTCTGTAAAGATGTTGTTGCTGTTGTTGTTGCGTACTGTCAAGTCAAACCAAGCCCCAGCTGACCCTCCGGCAGTTTTTCAGAGGCAATTAGTTAATTGCCTGGGAGGAGATTGCCCATCCTTCTGCAGAGCAGCTGGTAGATTCGAACTCTGTGCCTTCAGGATTGCAGCGTAGCTTTTTACCATACAGGGAGGTTCTACTCTGTCCTATAGGGTCACTATGAATCCGAACAGACTCGACAACAGTGCATCTGGTCTTGGCCCCTTTGTCCCTAGAATGAACCCTGCTTATCCCTCAGATATCAGCTTTCCCCAGAGGTGACTGATTTCCCAGTGACATTATCTGCAGTCCACTTACGGGAAGGTTCGCATCTTTTCAGATTGGCCACCGCCGTCACATATGCTGATCCTAAGTGTTTTTCATACGTTGTTTTGCCCTGGAGTCTAGCCAGACATTCTGTGTTGTCGTTGAACAGAAGGTTCTTGGTTTGAGACTGGAACATGCAGAACTTGCGGGGGCACTCGGTTCCATTTCTTCCAAACTTTGCCTGTGTTAAAGGGTCAGTCAGTACATGAGTGGTTGAGGAAACAGCAGAGTTAGAGGCTTCAGGAAGGCCAAGAACACTTCTTCCGTCCAGGATTAGCCCTGGGGAAACCATGAGGCAAGGGGATCTGATCTCTGGATCTGTTCAATTCCTGTGTTGACCCTTTCCCATCTCACATTGCTGCCCGAGCTCCTGGGGACAGACCCACCCTGAGCGGCCTCCTCTGAGCATCTCCAGTCTCCTCACTCTTTCTGATCTCACTTCCAACCCCTTTCCCTTCCTTCTCATTTCTGGAAATTCCCTTATGAAACTACGTATGAGTAACTAGGAAATAGCTCAACATTCTTGATATCTTCCCCTCAAAGTTGATGATCCTGTGTGTTTCAAGATGCCACCTCTCCCGGAAGGGCATTCTACACTGGAAAATCCAGTGTCAACCTCTCCCCAGGCCTCAGTTGGGTGTCTTAGCTTCCCTTAGGCACAGTTCTGCCCCCAGATACAGCAGGACCACATAGTAACGTCCCCATGGGTGTGTCATGAAGACGATAGATCTCCTACCAGCACCAGTAAGTGAGCCAAAGGCAGGACTCAATAAATGTCCACTCTTGTGGAGGCTTCTGTGTTACCAGGATGCTGAAGAGACCAGGCCAAGACTGGGTAATTGGGATGGGTGTGTCAGAGACAGTGATTGGCACAGGAATGAAAGGCTTGGTGATCTTGAAAACCAGCCAATAAAAACCCTGCAGACCACAGTAGTCCAAACCACAGCCAATCACGGAGGTGACACACGACCATGGCTTGCATCATGGCTGTGTGAGGTCCTTATCTGGGGTCAACTCAATGACGATTAACAACAACAACAATGTGACTAATGTGAGCATCCCAAGACCATGTCTTTAAAAGAAAAACATGTTGTCTAGAGCCATGATGTATGTTTTCATATAGAAACAAAAGCTCCAAGAAAGAATTAGATCTCAAGGGGGGATTTTAAGCTTTTCTTCAAACACTCTCATAGGAGCCCAAAATCTGTAGAACAATTCTGAGTTTGTTGTTTTGGGGGATTGTTGTTGTTGTTAGGTGCCATCGAGCTGCTTGCGACTCATGGCGACCCTATGTACAACAGCCCTAAACTCTCTCTGCTCTGTCCTGTGCCAATCGCACTGTCTCTGACACACCCATCCCGATTTTCCCAGTCACTGAATCAATCCACCTCATAGAGGGCCTTCCCCTCCTGCGCAGTCCCTCCACACTCCCAAGCATGATGTCCCTCTCCAAGGACCAGTCTTTCCTTACAACATGTGTAAAATCAAGCTCGTTTTGTCTCCAGCATCCCTCTGCTGGTGGAGGTTCTAAAGATACCACCAAAGTAAACTATCTTACACCTAGACGGTGTGGGAGGGAATCTCAGTCATCTCTCTCACTTGCTTAAAGACTGAAAAGAGGGGGAAAGGAAGAATTGTCCTCAAATCAAGCAGCTGAACGCAGCCATCCAGGGATATGGAAACTCAAGGCAGAAATGAAGTCAGTTCCAGAAAGTCCAGGGTCACAATCCTCTGAACAGTCCCAGAGCACGATGCAGTTACCACCAACTTCAGAGAGACAGAAAGACAAGAGGGGCTGGTTCACCCAGCTCTGTGATGCTCCCACCTGGCAGGGGCCCAGGCAGTTAAGAAGAGCCAGAGACCCTCCTGGTCCGTACCTGTTGCTGAAGCAGCACCTGTTCAACATATGCTGCCTTATCTTTCCGAGACATCACAGCGTGACTTGGGGCCACAGAGAGGTGGCAACTCTCAGCCTCAGACACAGGCTTCCGGGTGCCGTCGAGACACAGCAGCTCAAAGTCCTCCAGCTTCAGATCCTTAGCCCAGGCTTCAGGGTTCTTTCCTGCAGGGAGAGAGGAAAGATGGATTCAGCCACACTGCCCAACTCGGTCAAGGGGTTCTTTCTGGGTGGGTGTGGTCAAAGATATTGAACATTTTCTATTTATTAAAATATAAAATGAATGCTTTTAAATAAGCAATTAGTGTTTCTTTTAAAAGAAAACCAACTTTTTTAACACTAGAGAATATTAACATTACATTTTACATCAGTCTGATCCTTGGCACTCTCTTTGGAAGATCCAAATATTAGATTTAATGGCTCATAAATTCTATAGATAACTATGTTGTTGTTGATTGCTTTCGACTCAAGCACGACTCATAGTGACCCTATGAACAAAAGGCCTGAACCCCTCTACAATTATCAACATTTATTAAAGTTCATCGAGTTTCCGGAGGCATGTTGTTTAAGAAGTGGATGCCGCTCCTGCTTCCAAATAGAGAACTATAGACACATCCATACATATGCAAATAGAATTACATCTTTTAGCCTGTTTGTCTGTGTCTCTCCCTTTAAAAACATCCATTAAAAAAAAATCCATTCTCTTGACTTCAACCATTTGATATTGAGAACATGCCAAATCCACAGGTTTCACCTTGATCCCTCTCCTAGGAAACATGAGCTAGTGGGACAGGGGGAAGGAAGGGAGAGGCAGGTGTGGCTGAAGATACTTTCAAAGGAGGGAAGCAGAAAGCTGAGGCAGTTCTTTCTTAGATGACAATGACAGTCCATCTGGCCAAGGAAGGGAGGGATATTTTGGAAAACAGCAAATGCTTAGAGTCTTTAATTTGGTTGCTTGTGTTGTTTGTTTGTTTAAATATATTGTTGTTGATTACCTTTGAGTCAAGCACAACTCATAGTGACCCTATGAACAAAAGGCCTGAAGCCCTCTACAATTATCCACATTTATTAAAGTTCAGAGTTACCAGAGGCATGTTGTAACGAAGAGGATGCCACTCCTGCTTCCAAACCTGTCATAGTTTGTTATTGTTGTTATGTGCCGTTGAGTTGCCTGCAATGCATAGTCACCCTATGTACAGCAGCTCTTAACCCTTCCCTGTCCTGAGACAGTCTCACTAATTCTGACACACCAACTCCCATTGCCACAGTCAAAACCCTCTGTACAGCAGAGCACACTTAGAGTAGACTAACAGATAACGGCAACTGAAGTTGTGTAAATACAGAGATCACAAAAGAGAATGATTGTTCCATCAATGGCTAGTGAATGTTTTCTGTCATCTGCATCTGCTCTTGACTCTGTTTTGACTTACGCAGAAGGAGTTTCCAGACTAAGGCTCACAGTTGTTTTATGAAAAGAGGAACTGTCTCTGCAGACGCTCAGTTTTTGTGTCATCCATACTCAGTTTTCCAGAGGCAAGCACAGTGTGTAGTTGACTAGACAAAGCCAGAGAGACCCTTGCTACTGAGCATATTGGGGGGGGGGGGTGCACACGTGTGTGTGTGTGAGAGAGAGAAGAGAATTTGGCTTCAAAACCTGTGTGACACTTAGAGATGTTATTTCTTACCTTCGCAAAGAATTCTGGAATTAATTCAACACCTGGAAAGGGTTATGGTGCCTTCCCAGTTGTAAATCTGAATACTAGGATGTTTTGTGGTGCCAAAGACTCTGCTTTGAGGGAGAAAAGGAACAAGCTTCACCTACCATCAGTGTTCTCCAAGACTGTGACATCTTTTACAAATGCAACATCTCCATTCCCTTCAACCAAACACCTGAAATAATCCAGAAAAGAAACACATTTGAGAAGAGTATTCAAGTTTTCATAAATATGTGCAATGTTGTTGTTATCAAGTGCTGTCGATTCAAGCATGTCTCATAGCGACCCTATAAACAAAAGACCTGAACTCTGTTCTGTAACTATCGTCATTTCTCTATGTTCATAGAGTTTCCAGAGGCATGTGGCTTAGGAAGTGGTTGCCACTCCTGCTTCCAAACCTGAATCAGTCTGGGAGCTCCACCAAACCCTGTCCACAATGGGTAACCATTATGGTGTTTGACACACCAGTGACACAGCATTCAGCATCACAGCAACTCCAATATATCCCAAAAAGAAAGATAAAGAGGAAGTCAACATGTACAAGATAAAGGCAATGTTTCCAGGAACTTCTGGTTTAAAATAGCAAATTAAACACACTAGGATATCCTCTCTGTTTCTAAAATGCCGATCAAGTAATAACAGTAACATCAAAGATATGAAAGAAGATGTCATATTCATGACACAAGAACAGGAAGTTCTAAAAAGGGACAGCCTGAATGTGGGAGAGTTTTTTGAAAGTTATAAAATCATGAAATAGTTTAAGATGTTATGATTATTAGATTACCCCTGGGTCACTCTAACCCTAAGGTTATATCCAACCACTTGAGATCAAGCTTGTCAGAAAGCTCAATAGCGTCATGACAAAGTAGATTCACTTGGTTCTCCAGACTTCTATTCTCCCTTAGATTTCAGTCTGGTATTTTAAGAATGTGTATGTTTTGTTGTGGTTGCTGTTGTTGTTATTGTTGTTAGGTGCCATGGAGTCAGATTTGACTCATAGCAACCGTATGTAAGCAGAACAATACACTACCCAACCTGCCCCAGCTTCACAGTTTCTGCTGTGTTTAAGCCCAGTGTTGGAGATATCATGTCAGTCAATCCCACTGAGCACCTTCCTCTTTTTTGTTACCCTCTTCTCTTCTCCCAAGCATGATATCCTTCTCTAGAATTAGTCCCTCCTGCCGGAATATCCAAAGTATGAGACAAAGTCTCACCACCTTGCTTCTAAGGAGCACTCTAGATGCACCGCTGAGCGTGTAATTCAGCACTTTTTGTTTGCTTTTAGGAGTAGAGTTGGTCAAAGTCTTCTAGTCCTGACATCTCCCTGAAATCCTTTTGAAATTCCTTGGGGAAATGTTTTCCAAATTAAACTTAGTTACCCAACCAAACTATAAATTATTCCAGTGATAGAAATGTTTTCCAAGCGTGCTCACTCACTCATCTCTCGCTGTCGAGTTGGAGTTGACTCATCGCAGACCCTTCAGTGGGTAAATGACCAGAGGAGAGTGCCTGTCTTTCTCCCTCAGAGAGGCTGGTGGATTGGAGCCACCGCAGAGGTGTGGCCTTTACATTAGCAGCAAAATGCCCTGCGGATGACCGCCACTTTCTCTTACTCTCTGGGAAATGTGTTTTCTCTAAGAAAACTAAAGATACAAGATGCAAGTAACAGGGGAAACAGATAACGCGAACTGAGACCAAGGGAAACTCCAGCATGAGGCCAGAGGAATCCACCAAGCACAGATGTGCGATGACCTGGAGAGTAACAACCCAGAGTGGAATTGGCGGATGGAAGCCTGCAGGGAAAACTACGTCCAATGAATGATGAAAGACATAGTACCCAGAGTGTGTGTGTGTGTAGATTCACACACTGTGGTAGAGATTCTTAGTGATCTTAAAACACACACAGAAAATTTAAAAAAGAGAGAAAATTAAAACTTCCCACCTATTGTATCCAGAAGAAACAAAAATGTATACAACGAACAATATTATAACATTGTTGTTGTTGTTGTTGTTGTTGTGTACCATCAGGTCAGAACTGACCCATAGCTGACCATCCATTAGGTTTTCAGAGGCAGTTAATCACATGAGAGGAGATTGCCCATATTTCTTCCTCAGAGCAGCTGGAGGATTTGAACTGGGTGCCTTTGGGATTGCAGCACAGCTTCTTACCATTAGACCACCAGAGCTCATATGACAACATTATACTACATGGAAAAGAAAGACAAGGAAACCCAGACATTCATTCCATCCCAGCTCCTATACAGCAAAGGAGAACTTCCCAGTGGGATTTCTCAGGCTGTAAATCCTCATAGGACCAGACAGTCTCATATTTCTCCCAGAAACACTTGGTGGCTTCAGACTGCCAACCTTTGAGTTAGCACCACACTGCTTTAACCATGACAACACCAGGGCTCTTTACATCGTCTGTTTGAGAATCATATTTTAGATAGTCTGAATACGTAAGCACTGAATAGGATACAATCTTCCTGATGCTGAAGGAACAGGAGCTTGAGGCTATGGCGTGGGACTGACCAAATGGCAGTGTGAGAAGGCCAGCTCATCTCTGTTAACAGGAAGTAGACACATAACCACTGCAAGTTCACAGTTACAACCCAACAGTCCATGGGCTTCAGATGGATAGACGTGAAACAACTCTGTTTTAGTGTTCAATTGTTTTTTTCATCAAGTCTTCCAATTAGACCCCTGGCATAATGTGAACAAAAGACAAAGCATTTTTTTTCTAACCTAAATAAAGACACTAAAGTGTGTGCAAGGAGTTCTCGTGGCCTAGTGGGTAGCCTCTCCTAGCAGCATGCCCCAAGTAGGTGAGGTAAAGTTTAATCATCTTGGCCTCCAAGGAGCACTCTGGCTGCACCTTCTCTAAGATAGATCTATCTGTCCTTTGATGTTTGTTGTTGTTATGTGCCATTGAGTCGCTTGCGACTCATAGCAACCCTATGTACAAGAGTTCTAAATGCTGTTTTATCCTGTGCCAACCTAGCCATCTCAGACACACGTATTCCCACCGCTCCAGTCACAGAATCGATCCATCTCATTGAGGGTCTTCCTCTCCTTCGCCGCCCCTCCACTCTGCCAAACATGATGACCCTCTCCAAGGACCAGTCCCTCCTTGCAACATGCCCAAAATATGTCAGATGAAGCTTCAGAGTCCTTGACTCCAAGGAGCATTCTGGCTTCATCTTCTCCAGGACAAACCTGTTTGTTCTCCTAGCAGTCCATGGTATATTCAACACTCTTCTCCAGCACCACAGCTCAATGGCATATTCAACACTCTTCTCAAACATCAAAAGCATCAATTCTTCTTCTATCATCCTTATTCCTTGTCCAGCTCTCATCAGCATAGTAAGTGATGGAAAAGACCATGGACTGAGTAAGGTGTACCTCTGTCCTCAAACTGACATCATTGTGCCTCAATAATTTGGAGAGGTCCCTGACTACAGACTTTCCCAGTGAAATATATCTCCTGATCTCCTGACTGCTGGTTTCAAGTTCATTGATTGTGACTCCAAATAAGATGAAGTCATCAACAGAAGAGAGTTTCAGGGGAGCTCTGGTGGCCTAGTGGCAAGAAGTTGCACTGCAATCCCAGAGGTGAGCAGTTCGAATCCACCAGATGCTCTGCTGGAGAAGGAGTGACAATCTCCTCCTGTACCAGTCAGATATGATAAGAGAAAGAAAGAGAGAGAGAAAGAAAGAGAGTTTCAATCTCTTCTCCATCCATCTTTCTATCTAAATATGCTAATGGAAGCAATATTTGGATAAAAGGGATTGTGCAATGAGAACTGCGGGTGGTTTCTACAAATCACTAAGAGGTTATTACTAGCAAATTAAGACAGATTTTTGTCATTGCTCATCACTTCACTGTTGAGGAAAAACACTGCAGTCAGGTTTTCTCTTTACCATTTCTAAGGCCAAAGTTAATGAGAAACTGAAAATGCAGCAAGTAGTGATGACTCACCTGCGACGGAGCCGCTTTGGGAAGAGAATTCTTCCCGGTTGCATTGCACAAAGAACTCAAGATGTCTCCCACCCCACTGCTCAGTTTTCAGGACGAGACCCTGAGGCTGACTGGGATCGACTTTGGCTCAAGGTCACAGAGAAGCCCTGAGCTCTTACCGCCTGAGCCAGCTTCCTCTCAGTGGTTGTGGGTCTGGTGGAGGGAACCCTCTTTGAGCCGGCTGCTGCTAGCACCAGGCCACCCCTGGCTCTGTTGTGACAGGTCACTCCTGACCTTTGGAAATGCAGCACCTGGTGGAGGTGGGTGACAACACGTACCTGAAAGCCCCGGTGTAGCCGAAGAATCTCTCCTTGCTGCTGGGCACACACTTGTTCTGACCCTTCTCATCACCAATGCACAGGGCACAGAGATTCGAAGAGGGGTCAGCTCCGGGAGCACAGCTTTCACTGAAGAATTCATCTGTATGGAAGGAACGTGGGAAGTCAGATGAACCAATGTTAGGAACCTTTAGCTTACAGGTGATACCAGTGAGGGGGGCATGCATGACAAGGAGAGAAGGTCAAGTTGAGGTATAACCATTTATGTCTTATTGAGATTCCTTTGCAGCATGACCTAGATAGAGAGCAAGTTTTGATTCAAAATGGTCAGCCTTCATGAGGCAGACAAGGCAGCTGCATTTTCCACACTTTGGGACCAGGAAAGCTCAAGGAAGTAATTCTACATATGGCTGCATCCAGTCTTAGGGTGCAGAGAACTAAAGGCGGAAATCCCTTTCTGCTATATCCATTCTAATTCATGTTGACTGCATGGTACAGAGCGAAATTACTACATAAGCTTTCCCTGGCGGTAATGTTTATGAAAGCAAACATTCAGGACTTTCTGCTCAGTACCATTTAGTGGATTTGAACCATCAAACTTCAGATTGGTAGATAAGCACATACTGTTTATGGCCAGCCAGGAATCTTTGAAAGTGCTGAGAAATAGGCATCCAGCTTTTTCTGGGGTGGGTGGATGGGGCATAGGAAGCAGAGTGTACCCTGAACTTGCCTTCAAGTCAAAATTATCCAGCAAATCCCCTACTGACTTCTCCCTTCCCTTTGTTGTTGATGTTTTATGTTTTATGTCATGTTAGGACCAATTCAGAGCTGACACTCCAACAGGTTTTCAGGAAGCAGGAGTGGCATCCACTTCCTAAACCACATGCCTCTGGAAACTCTATGGACTTTGATAAGTGATGATAGTTACAGAAAGGCTTCGGGCCTTTGGTGCATAGGGTCGCTATGATTCGTGCTCGACTTGACAGCAATCAACAACAACAACACACACAGCACAGGAGCTGACTGCCCATCTTTCTCCCATGGGGCAACAGGCCTATTTGAACCATGTACCTTTGGGTTGACAGTGCAATTCCTTATCACTAGGCCCCCAGAGCTCCCTCTCCCTCCCCCTGGGCTTCATGGTTGCAAATCTCTGAAAGCGTAGCAGTCCCTAATGGGATGGACCCGTTCCCCCATCTGCCCCACCACAGCTCCCTCTGGACTCCTTACCAAACTTGCAGGAGCCTGTCTGGTTGGCGATCAGGCCCATGGGGATGTTCCAGCCCGCGGTCCTGCCCACGCCGGTGTGGCAGGACTTCCTCCCTTTCAGTGTGTTCCAGGTGATGTCACCATCTGCCTTCCTAACCACCGCCACAGCACGATACCCTTGTACAACAGAGGGCAGAAGAGCAAGTTTTAGAGCACTGGAGAGCAGCTGTCTGCAGCCCAGGCCAGGTGGACCAAGGAGCATCACCAGAAGATGACTCTATCCAGACAACTGGCCGATGTCAGGCAGACGCTACAAGCTTAAGCAGTTGTCCTTTGTGGAGATGAGACTGAGCTGTGAAATGAAATCATGCGGACTGATTCTCTGAGTGTGTAAAGGAGACTCTCTTTCACTGGCTATACCATGTCCCTGAGCTATGAATCAGCAGTCACCTTCAGATGTGGACTCCTAAGCAAAGCCCACTGAACAAGAAGATGCCCCCAGCTGTGCATAAGCCACTGACTGCATGTGCATAGACAAGGACAGTAATGACCACCAAGCTGGCCGCTGTGCATGTGGAGGGTTGGGGAGCGGATGTCTCCAAGGCCATCTTTGGGCTGATCAAAGCCAGCCTTGCACCAGGGGAGCGGAAAGGAGGGTGCCGTTCTTGTCCTGATGACGTGCCCTTGACAGACATTTCCCTGAGCTAAGCCAGCACTCTCTGGTGCACAGGCTGAGAGGACACATAGAGTACCGGATTTGGCGCAGAAGACCTTGGTTCGAAGCCAGGGTCTGCCACTGTGTTACCTACAGTCATGAGTGAAATTCTATTCACTTTAGCCAATTTTCCATACCAGTCTTTGCTCATCTGTAAACACGAAGGTGGTAACACTCCAGTCCCACGGCCAGATGCAATTAGATAAACTCAAGTTGTCTATCAAGTGCTAAAGTGGATCTAGACATACTTATAGGTATTCTATTACGGAATAATTTATATCTTCAAAAATGCGATGGCTGTGTCTCGTTCTGTGAGTTTTTAAAAGCCTCTAACAACCCCTCCTCCAGCCATGAGGGCTTGATCTTGCCCCATTAGTGGTTCATTCCGACTCACCTTCTGCTGGTGTGTTCACACAGTCAGAGCTACCATCTCTTTGGGATCCTGAAAGAACAAAGGCCAGCAACACTGAGAAATCACAGGACCAATCTCGGGAGACTAAGCCCCAGCATTTACATACAACAGAAATACATAGATGTGCTCCCCAAAAGGCACACACAGGGCTGTTCATAGCAGTGCTGATTCACGATCACCACCAACAGGGAATGAACTGAGTGCCTCACATTATATGTTGTAAACCCTAACCCTAAATCTATGGTTGTAAACCCATTGTTGTTGTTGAGTACCAACCATCAAGTCTGAACCGACCCATAGATGACCTTCCAGTGGGTTTTCAGAGGCAGTAATAGCACAGGAGGAGATTACCCATCCATCTCCCATGAAGCAGGTGGCGGATTTGAACTGCATGCCCTTGGGATTGCAGTGCAGATTCTTACCACTAGGCCATCTGAGCTCCCTTAATCCCATTGCTGTTGTTGTTGATTGCATTCAAGTTGGACAGACTTATAGGGACCCTATGAACAAAAGGCTTGCAGCCCCTCTACAACTATCACCATTTATCAAAGTTCATAGGGTTTCTGAAAGCATGTTATTTAGGAAGTGGTTGCCACTCCTGCTTCCATTAATTCCATTAGGGAATAGATTTCTTTGCTATGCTAATAATGGGCCAGTATTCAGGTAAGGTATGTCTTAAATCCACCTTCTTTGAGACATAAAAGAGCAGGTTATGTGAGGAAACAAGGTTATGCACAAACAGAAAGGAAAATAAACAACATGTGGTCACCATCCTAGAAATAGAAGGTAAAGAGAGAGAAGGACTTTCATCCAGAGCAGATGGAGGAGAAAGCCTTCCCTGAAGCCAGTACCCTAAATGCAGCCTCTTAAAGTGTGAGAAAACAAATTACTGCTCATTAAAACCACCCCATTGTGACAGTTCTGTTAGTGAAGCACTAAGAAAGTAAGACAGTCATCAACTAGAAATTACCCAGTGCCTATCCCCGTGCCCATCAATAGCAGAACGGATAAATGATTTTGGTAGTCACTTGACGGAATACTGTACAAGAAGATTGGACATTCCTTAACTAGATGTGCGTATAAATCACTGTTACAAATGCAGTGCTGAGCGAGAGAAATCAGATAGCAAAACAACTTTATACTGCACAACACCTTTAAAATAAAGTTAACAGATAGAGCTGGTCTGAGCTGTTAGAAGTGGATATGGTGGTACCCCTTGGGTGGTCAGAGAAGTGGAAAGAGGACCAAAGGAGACTTCTGAAATATTCTGTGTCTCCAGGTGGGCACAAATCAGCTGGGAAAGTACAGTCTATGGAATATCATATAGCTGTACCCACAGTGCACCTTTCTGGGTGAGTTACAACTTTGCTAAAATATTTTCTAAAATAAGAACTGGATGCCTGTCTACACTTTGCTAGATCTCAAAGCAACAGGTAGATGGTAACATGCATTGTTTCAGGAATCCTTTCAACTCTCTAATTCTCCCAACTGAATGTATGCATGCATCTGAACATCTTCCCTTGTCCCCACCTCCAAAGTCCAGAGGGATTGATTATAACCTGAGAGGCAGCCCCCTTCACTTACTGGCCTTCTCCGCCAGGACAGGCACCAAGCCACACTTGCCCGCCGTGTAGATTAATCCTCCATCCAAACTCATGGCGTCGGCTTTTCCTTTCTGCAAAGACAAAGGACCAGTCAGTGAGGCTCTTCCCTGACCTCCTCCTGTTCACAGCTCTCTAAGAGCCCAGCTCTACATCATGTCTGTGTCCCAAACACCAGAAAGAGATCAGGGTTGTTTTAACGGAGCACTAAGGATACACCGTGTGCATGCTTTGGTCTCTACCAGCCCCAGCACAATTCAACTGAAATACTAGGAGAAGTGACACTAACCCTCTACCTTCTGAACAAAACCCTTCTTGTGTCCAGCACACTCCTCCTGGACAAGCCTCCTTCTTGAAGAGACAGCTAGAAGCAGTTAGCTTCAGCTGATCTCCACCCATTAGCACTGCTCCCTTCGTGCTACAAGGAGAAGTTCAATAAGTGAGCAGAAGTAGGGCCTCCTGGAAGATCTGTTCAAATTATGCCTCCCCAGATTTCCCATGTTTGGAAGAAGCATCTTAGAAGGTTATCATCAGTGAAGATGAGATCAGCTCTATGGAGAAGGGTGGATGGATCCTAATCCAAGATGAATGGTGTCCTTGTACAACAGAAGAGACACAGAGCGGGAGAGAGAGAGAGAGACTGGAATCCTCTACAACCTACCATGACAAGGGTGATGCAGTCCTGGGCAGTGGAGGCCAAAGTACAGGTCACCTTCCCTCTGCTCTGGCGGTTCCACTGGATACACTTGCTCTGCTCCTCACTGCCCACCGCACACCACACCACCCTGGCACGCCGGGAATCCAGGGTTGTTTTCCCTGGGGAGAGGGACGAAAACTGAATATCTAAGGCTCCTGACCTTGGATGGACATAGAGGCTTCATCTTCCTCTTGGATCTCTGCAGAGTCCAACTCCCCTCAGAATACCCTTCTCTGCCTAGACTTCTCACAAAGACCCTGGGGAGCTGCTTCCTCCAGTTGGGGTAGCCCTTCCCTTCCTCCATTCCCCAGCCCCAGCCCCTTCCTCAGCTCCCTTTTTCACTTCCATCCCTTCTGAGACCTTCTCTGCTTCCAAACCATCTATCAGCCCTGAGTGCAATGACCTGTCTCCTGTCTCCTTCCCATGGGATGAAAGTTTCATTCATTTTCATCATGGAACTAATGGCAGCCCCAGGAGAGGGTGTCCGGCATCACCATAAAACCTCCCCTGAAATTCCCAGTGACCCCATGAACTACAATGCAGTGTCAAATTTCCCTAGACTCGTACTCCAAGCCCACTGATAAAAGGTCAGCCAGGATTGAACTCCTTCTTGTAATATTTTTTTTCTAGGGCCTTGGACGGAAGTGGGGAGGTTCTGTTGATTCCTGGTCAAAGGAGGTAAGTTCGTTTTTCTGTCACGACTTGGCCGGGGGCGGGGGTCTCCTGATGTTCACAGGGATATATACCAGCATTAACAACTGGGCACCTTGAACGTCCTGATGTAAGTAGCAGAAGACACTGGGACCTACGTCAGAATCACCACAGTGAAGAGCCCTCTCTGGCTGAGAGTCAGAGGAGTGACCCCCCTGGAGGGGGGCAGTCACGAGTGAGCAGGTATGAGGTGTATCCAGAAGACCTCCCGCCCTGCCCATCCTCACTCACTTTCCTTCAAGTTCGCTTGAGCTGTGATGTAGTCAAAGCCAAGGTACAGCCCAGCGTCTATCTCGGAGGGAATCCTCAAAAAGCCAAGAGTGGAGTCCTTGAAGAGCAAGTCCTTCTTCTGAGAGGGGGAGCCGAAGAGCTGGAATTCTGATGATTTATCTTTCCCAAACCTTTCCTGTTTGAGGGAAAATCAAATTAAAGGTGCTCATAGGAGCTCAGTGAGCTCCAGTGGCCTCATGGTAAGAAGCTCCCCTGCAATCCCAAAGGCGTGTGGCTCGAATCCACCAGCTGCTCCACCGGAGAAGATTAAGCAATCTCTTCCCATGAGATTTACTGCTTCTGGAAACCTGCTGGAGGGTCAGCCATGAGTCACAACAACAACATAGGAACCCTGATATCATAGTGTGTTACACACTACGCTGCTAACAGAGAGATCAGTGGTTCAAATCCAATAGCTGCTCTGCCAGAGAAAAATGGTCTGTCTCTTCAAAGAAACCCTGTGGAGGGGGTGGACATGAGTTGGAATCAATTGGACTGCAGTGAATTTGGGTTTTGTTCAGGGGATGCTAAACAGGAAGGGAATAGAAATCAGTGTTGAAAAGGAGTCTCTGGACCTTTGACAACCTCAGTTGACATCTCTCACAGAGGGAGAGACTCGCACCATTCCTGTGATGTGACTTTCTCTTTAGAAAGCTGGGGTGGGGGAGCAGGGCAAGCACATTGGTGCCCCCAAAATACGGCCTTTTCCCATCCTGCTTCTACTCCAGCCAACTCAAGATGCACTTAGCATTATGGGGAAGAACACGTTGAAGAGTCTGGGTCATCCCCGCCCGCCTCAGGCCTAATAAGGACCCTGCTGGTGTAGGTGGTCACATATTGGGCTGCGAGGCAGATCCACCAAGCACCTTGAGGAAGAGAGAAGAAGCAGTCTGCTCCCACTAAGATTCACAGCCTTGGGAATTCCCTGGAGGGTCACCATGACTAGCAACCAGCTCAATGGCAGCAGGTTTGGGGTACAGGGGTTATTGGTTTAAATCCGAACATAGAGGCTTCTTTAGCGTCTAATTTCTCTAAAGCCATAACTGGGCAATATCTTCACCTCTCTGCCCTGGAAAGTAGGTCCCACCACACAGTTTTCCCTCTACACTCACAATATTATCTAAGGCAACAGCTAGGCTTCTAGGCCAGGTCACCTGGGAAGACCCCAGTACCATACAGATGGCCAGGATCAGTCTTACTGGGCACCCTTGAGTTCTGATACCCTCAGGCCAGATGGAGAATAGGAGGAGCCAATCCAGGGAGCACTATGGACCAGAAGCGGAAGCACAGGCACCCAGCAGGACAGAAGATGGAGATTAGCTGGACCAAGGAAGATGCATAGGGCTTCAGCTGTCTGTCACCTCCCTGCTGTCTCTGATGGGAATGATGAGAACATGAAGGAATAATCACTTCCACCTAGCATTGTAGAAGACTCGCTACAGGTTGAAAAGGGAAATTAGACTTGAAAATGGGAAACAGGCAAACTCTCTAAGATACAGCCAGTCAGCAATATTGGATGGGAGGGGAAGGGAGTGCATTGTTGCTGCTGCCCGGAGCACAGACGGGGGGTCAAGTGCTTCAAGGCACTAATGAACTGCTCTTTGGTGAGGCTGATGACGGCCTTCAGAGTGTCAGGAAGTCAGAAAAGAAAAGATCAATCCATCCTCTCCCCAGATTCAATAAGGGGAGAGAATCGTGGTGGGAATACCTGTGCCTGGCGGAGAAGCTCCCAGATCAAGTTTGCCTTGCCATTTGCACTTCGGGCCACAACGGCGTGAGAAGGCACCCGGGCCAGGTTGCACTCCTGGAACTGGTCCACTGGCCTCCGGGTGTTGTCTGGGCAGAGCAGCTCGTACTGGTCCCTGTCAGCCTCGTTTGGCAGGCTCTCTGGGCAGAGGCAAGGGGTGAGAGGGAGCTTAGATGAGATGAATCCAAGTGGTAGCCATGAGCTATCATTCCCCTCGACCCACAGTTCTGAGCACGTGACCAAGCTCAAGGTCAGAAAGGCAGGAATTTTCTCCTGAGCCTTCAGAGAGATTAAGACATTACCCAGAAAGCCCTGGAGACCATTCTTGTCAGAATTCAGGGGATCCACTAAGAGAAAAATGTAAAGTTCTATTGAAGAATATAAAAAAGATGGGTGTAAAAATGAAGATATTTATCACGATCATGGGTTGGATAACAATGTCACAAACATGTCAAATTTTCAGGGCCAATTTAAATTCAAGGTAATTCCCATAAAAATTCTATTAGTATTTTAAGAAATAAATTTAACATAAAGATTCAAAACTACGTATGAGAATTGATCTGATATTGAGACCCGTGACTGATCATAGACAGGAAGACAAGCAAACACACTATTGTGATTTTAACACAAATACGGATTAATTTAAAATACAAATATACTGAGACCAAATAACTAAAAAACTGATAAGTGAATATGCAAACTTAGTGTTGAAGTAGTTCCATGGACCAGGAGGTAAAAGGTAGAGTTTTTATAGTTGCTACAAGGAAAATTTTCTCACAATAACAGGAGTCAGGTAATACTAAAGCCGAATCTTTGCCTAATATCCCATATAGGTGATTTATAGACAAGTGTTAGGAGTAGAGAGAGAATCTTTTGATCTTCTTTTTAAAGGATTTGTGACATTAGGGTGAAGAAGGACAAGGACTGTTCTTTGAAAGGTAAAACTGATTCACTTAACATTATCAGTATCAAGGACTTCTGTTTGGTAAAGGTGCCACCGATATATGACAGATGAGAAATGATCATAGTAAAACTGAAAACAGATCACAGTTTGATAGCTAAATATTAATAGAAAGTCAAAATCAAGGAGAGGCAAGGCATAAACTTCAAAAGAAAAACAGTCAAAAGGTCACAAAGTGAGAGAGAAAAGTCTGTGTTATTAGCACAGGCATTCAGGGATGATCACTGCCTTGTTCCCAGACATGACATTTAAACATAAAATGTCTGTCGTTTTAAAATCACCGTCTGGCCAAAAGTCAAAAATATCCCAACTTGAAGTTGTAGAAAAATGAGAATGATGAAGTGTTGGTGGGAACATAATTGTGTACTGTCATTCTAATATGGTGATTCAAGTCAAACATGAGCCTGGCTCTGGCGGGCCTGATATAATGTGGGCCTGGCTCTGGTTGTTAGTTAATTATGTACCATCAAGTGTGAACAGCTGACTTTCCAGAAGGTTTTCAGGGGCATTAAATCACGTGGAAGAGGGGAGCTCTGGTGGCCTAGTGGTAAGGAGCTGCAACTACAATCCCAGAAGCGCACAGTTCGAAGCCACCAGATGCTCTGCCGGGAAAGGAGGGACAATCTCCTCCTGTACCAGTCAGATCTGATTTGACGGTACACTCACACAAAAATAATAATAATTTTTAAAAAATCACGTGGACGATGACTGCCCATCTTTCTCCTGTGGAGCAGCTGGTGGATTCAAACTGCGTACCTTTGGGTTGACAATACAACTTCTTATCTCTATCATAAGCCTACCTCTGGTGGAAAAAGTAGAGAGTAAACCTGGCTTTCATGGTCCTGGTAAAAAGTGGACCTGTCTCTGGTGGAATGTGATGGCTTCTATGCAAGCAGCAACAACTGTATTTCAACATATGATCACCATGGCCACGCTCCTCGAAGAAGATAGATATAAAGATGGCATGTTTGGAACTCTACATGGTTATGAAAAGGTAAGACTAACTTGTCTTTCCATCAATAGTGTGATGGATAAGTAAGGTACAGTTCATGCAGCCTTCTGAAGCTGTGAGAAGCATTTACTGAACATTTGCACAACTGCATATTAGCATTGCACAACTGCATATTAGCATCTTTAAATGAAGAAGAAGAAGAAACCTGAGTGGAAGAACTTAGGAACCGCATAGTTTCTAATGTTCAGTAAAACTTGAGTGATTTTAATACCCAGAAGCACAAACAGCTCTGTACAGTCTGAATAACAAGAGGTAGCTCGGGGGCGGGGGGGGACAAAACACGTCTAGGGGCTAAACATAGGTGTCTGTGTGAAGGGGAAGAGATGGAACTGGACATACGAGATTTCAAAAGAAGGAGTTATTTTACATGTGAAATAATATTTAAAAAGAGCTGTGCTTTGTGAGAAATCCTGATCATAGAGTGTCAAGAGCCAACTGCTTTGCTTAACATTTGCTAGAACACGATAAAAGGGCTAATGATGATGATAATTTAATAATAATAATAAAAAGGTCCATTCTCCTGGCTCTTCTCCCTCCTCTTACCAAACACAGTGCTGTCCCTGACAAATGCCACTTCTCCAGCCCCATCCTGCAGGCATCTGTGAAATGAGAAGGTGTCAGAAGTGAGTCAGGGGCCCTGTAATTGTGTCCCATGGTGTATCTGCTCACTATGGAGGATTCTGAGGAAGAAGACCTCGGGGACTGGCTAGCAACACATCACACACACACACACACCCCCCATTCTCTCTCTCTCTCTCGTCTCTCTCTCTCTCCCCTCCTCTCTCTCTCTTTCCCCTTAAGGGTTGAGAAGTCACAACTACTTTCTACTACATAAAGGAGAACCCAGAAGCTTCCACACAGGCATGGTGATGGATGAATGGGATGGTGAAGGCTTGGTGACACTGAACAGATAAATGATAAACATACAATAGTAGCTCATGTGACTTTCTCTCTCTAGCCAGTGTGGAAGTGGGGTGACGGCCTCCCTGCAGAATAATGCCAATCCCACCACCACCAGAAGGTGGCTTGGGGAGTGGGGAGCCTGCCAGCCTTTGTTTGCAGCACAAGTGTGGAGGGGTGGGACAGACAGGCCTCCCTGTCCTCTGGCTCCTGGTGAGACCCACATAGATCAGAGTGTCATCCCGGACATTCTGGGTCTCTGGGCGCATACTGCGTGCTACTTGCTCCAGAAAAGGGTCTCCTGACATGAAGGCACTTGCCACTTGGGTCACTGTGGAGAACTGGACAGTCTCGCTCACCTGAATGCACCAGAGTAGCCGAAGTATGGCTCCTGTGTGGAACAGGCACATTTATTTGCACCTTCGCCCGCACATAGACTGCACAGGCTGGGGAACCGTCTGGCATCTGCACAGGGAACGCAGCTCCGCGAGAAGAACTTGGACACAGCTGTTGTCAACAGAGAAAGGGACCCAAGTGGGAGCCAGCCCCACCCTCATCAGCTCTGCCCTTTGTCCTTGACCCTCAAGAGAGTCCCCTCTCCCCCACCCCAGGAGGCAGCCTTTGGGTGGCATGGAGGGGTGCAGAGAAATGCACCTTGCAGATAGAAGGCCCTCAGCATGGCTGGGCATGATAACACACGTGGGGCCCCAAACCTCTGCAGCAGGAAGAGACACCCCTTTCTGACACCCACCACCTTCTACCTCCCCCACCTCACCCACCACCTTACCATATTCAATGGGTGTAGGTGGCCCTGGCCACTTCAAGTATGGACGAAGTGTCCCGATAGGGATGTTCCAGCCGGCAGACCTGCCGAGCCCAGTGTGACAGGACGCTCTGCCTTTGAGTTGGTTCAGCTGGAAGTCAGTGCCTTTCTTGACCACAGCCACCGCATAATAATGAGTCTGTGGGTCTGCAAAGGACAGAGTTTTGAAGGCTCTTAGTGTAGAGCAGAGGAAGAAAAGTCTGGCCAAGTCTTGGTGGGAAAAGAGAATGAAAGGCTGGTTCATCCAAGGGAGAAGCAGTCAAGAGCCTGCTGTTCCCTAGAGGGGGCTCCATCCTTCCTGAGAGTTCTCATCAGGGCGGATGACCTTATCTGGTCCATGGAGCCCAGGGACTTGGCATCTTGTAAATGGAATGCTGACCAGCTCCTGCCTCTGCAATCAAAACTCAAGGGCACGCTGGCTTCTGAGTCATTGGAAAAACTCACTTGCTTCGGATCCATAGACCTCAGCCACGACTGGCTTCAGTCTGTAGGGGCTCTGGCCTGCCACAAGCAACAAACCACCATCAACAGTCGTAGCATCTGCCTGATTTGCCTGAAAGAGAAGAGGCCAGGTGGGCTTCAGCTGAAAGCCTGCCCAAATCCAGAGCCACGAACCCAACCCACTGTCATCAAGTCAGTTCCCACTCCATCCTGTTTCCAAGGCTCTAAGTCTTTAGTGGAGGGGAGCCCCATCTTTCTCCTGGAGAGCTGGTGGATTTGGAACCGCCCGAGCAAAATGAGCCGTGCGTTGGACCATCCCGGTTCCTTCCAGAATCTGAAGTACCTTCCTAAAATACTACATAACTCGGGAGAGACTGGAGAGCATTTTGCTGAGTGAACTAACTCAGTCTCTCACAAGGACAAATATTACATAGACCATTGTTGTAAAAATAGAAGGATAACTAGTAAAAAATATATGGGAACCCAAGGGGGGAAGGGGTGCAAGCAGAGAGGTGAGGATGGGTAGGGGTGAAACCACAGAGTTACACAATTAGGTGGTGGAAGGGGGGCAGGAAATGGAAGGATCTGAGTGAAAAAACGGTAATAATGGGAACATCCCATGGTGATTCATTTTAGAAAACATAATGCATGAGAATGATTATAGAAGGGTTGAGGGACAGAGCAGAAGTGATTGTTGTTGTTTTTGTTGTGTGCCATCGAGTCACTTGTAACTCATAGCAACCCTGTGTACAACAGCTGTGCAGCCGGCCCTGTCCTGAGCCAGTCTCACTGATTCCAACACACCTACCCCCATTGCCCCAGTAACCCGTGTCAATCCATCTCAGCCAGGTTCTTCCACCCCTGCGCTGTCCCTCAATCCTTTCTTGATGTCAGAAAGCACAAAAACTGTGCTTTCATGAATAACTTTGTCCTCATAGCAGACGTTGCAAAGCAAACCGACTGAGTGTATAAATAAACATATTTCAAATAGATATTTAGAGCTTGAAAAACAAAAAGTACCAGAAATCACTTACTAGTTATTATATCTTCTCTCGCTTTCTCTTAATCTAAAAATGCCTTGGAAAGAGTGCGGTTACATTGAGAGAATGACGACTAGTGTCTTCCTAATGCTCAGAGCCCAGATGAGATTTTCCCCAGTGGTGTGGTGTGGAGATTATGATTAAACACTCACACACACACACTGCCATTTCAATTCCCACACATAAAGACCCTGTTGGATAAAATAGAAAAAGCACTTTATCATTTCCAAGGCTGTAAATGAAGTCTTTATTAAAGCAAGCTACCTCATTTTTCTCCCAGGGACAGCTGGTGGGTTCAAACCTCCAATCTTTGGATTAGCCATCATCATTCTCTCAGAACTGAGGTAGTGATTGCCCAGAAGGTTCACCTTTCAGATTATCCCACCTACACTGCATCCTCCTCATTCCATGACTGTTTCGGTGCCAGTCCGTTCTGAAAAGATTTTGGTAGAACAATTTTTTCCAGTGCTTGTCTGTCAGATACTCTTCTGAAGCTGAGCATCCAAATTAAGACAGACTAGGAAGAAGGATTGGCCTTCTACTTCCAAAATAAAAGGTCTGCAAAGACCCTATGTACAACAGAGCAAAAAAATTAAGAGTAGATGAGCAAATATGACAGCTGAGGCTGAGCCGTCATATTGAGACACACAGGAGAGGAAAGGAAGACCCCAGACGAGATGGAATGACACAGTAACTGGAGCAATGCGGGTAGGCTTGTCGGAGACAGTGAGACTTGCTCAAGATGGGGCAGGGTTCACAGCTGCTGTCCACAGGGTCGCTAAGAGTCACAGGCAACTCAGTGACACATTACAACATCAACACACAATATGAATCTGTGTTAAGATACTAGTTTCTCCACGAAGAGTCTCCTCGCTTACAGATTTGTAGCTTGAATCCTTCTGCTTTCAAAACAGCCCTGTTTCCTGTAGAAAAGACTCCTCCTAGCTGACTGGTGCCGAAGAAGTGAAGCAGGTGGAGGTCTCACCCACCAAGCGCGATGACTTACCGCAATGGCCTTGATGCACTGAAGGCCGGAGTTCCTGTTCACGCAGCTGAGAGGGGGCCCACCCACTCTGTCCATATTCTCTTGGAATTTGGAGCATTTTGCTGCCTCATCTTGTGATGTGGTGCACCACCTAACAGTTTCCTCAGAGACGGCCAGACAAAGCGCTGGAAGAAAGAGACCAACGAGTCAAGGGGTCAGTCAGTGCCCATGGGAGGGAGGGAACACATTTGCCTCTCTGACAGAATTCTGCCATTTACCAATCTATACACATTTCATACCATAACATTAGTTTCCATTCTCTCAGAGTAACATTCTTCCTGCTTCCTCCAAGGGTCTCCCCACTTCCACTTCACCCTTCTTCCAGCCCCTCCACACCCTCTGAGCTTTGTTTTGAGGCAATTGTTGTCTTTATGGTCTTGTGTGGTTAATTGCTCTGAGGAACAAGTGTTACATTTACTTTACAGGCTAAGGCTGTGTTTATCTATTTGGTGAAAAGGTAATTCCAATTGGTGGGATCAAGTGCAAGTTTAAAGGATGTCTAACAGCCTCAGTCTCGGGGATTCCTCCAGTCTCGCTCAGACCAGTATGTCTGGTCTTTCTCAAAATGTTGAATTCTATTCTACATCCCCCCCCCATTCTGTCCAAGACCTTCTGTGGTCTCAATCTGAACTAACAGTACTACTAGTAGTAGTCCAACGGCATGCAGCTGCCAGGTCACCAGTTGCTCCATGGGAAAAGGATGGGCAACCTCCTGTCATGCAATTAATTGCCTCCTAAAACCCAGTGGAGGGTCAGATATGAGTTGGTTCCAATTCTATGGTACTAGCACAAATGACAGTAGTAGTAGTAGTAGTAGTAGTAGTAGTAGCAGCAGCAGCAGCAGCCAGGCACTATCTATCTAGTTTTTATGGTGTGAGAATAGTGGAGGCTGTATTTCAAGTGGTCCCCTAGTCCTTTGGATTCACTGTTGCCACACATCTTTGATTCTTCTCCTTTACTCCATTCAGATGGAGAAAGACCAATAGTTGCATCTCAGATGGCCAGTTGCTAACTTTTAAGATCCCAACCACTTCTCACTGACAGAGTCTTGGATTCCTTACTCTTGCCCTGACCCCATATTGTCCCTTCTATTTTGTGGCTAAGTCAGGCCACTGTCTCCAAGTAGAGGCAATTTGCTGGCCTAAAGCAGACTCTGCGCTATCCAGAGCCCTGTGATTTCACCTCAAGTTTCATTAAATTAGTGGAGATAGTCAAGAGCCTCTGGATTCTTCTTGCTTCCTTTGACTTTTGATGTGTTTCCCACCTCTACTCTTGGACCTCTCCAAAGTGCTGAAAAGCAATGATGTCAGCCTAAGGACTAAAGTGCACCTGATCCAAGCCTTGGTCTTCTTAGTTGCTTGCTGTGCATCTGACAGCTGGACTAAAGATCACAGAAGAAGAATGGGTACCTTTGAGTTGAAGTGCTAGAGAAGAGTATTGAACTCTACTAGGAAGGACTGGCCATCGCTGTGCTCCGGCTTTTGCCACTAAAATGGATGCAGCTTCCAACTAAGGAAGAAGCTGGACCAGATTGACTTACAGTTCTTAAAAACCATATAGCTCCCTGATAAAGAGCAGCTATGAAAGGATCTACGGAGAACATTTTAGTTCATTGCAAATGACTTGAATGCTTTCCCTGTAACGTCAGGAACAAGATACGGATATCCTTTTTCATCTCTTCTATTCAACATGGTGCCACTGGAGGTTCTGGCCACAGTAATATGACACACATCACAAAAAAAAATAAAATAGAAATTAATTAATTAAAAGTATAAAGGTGTAAGGAAAAGGATAGTTGAACAAAGTTCATTATTTGACAAGACATGATCTTCTTTGTATTAAAATCCAAAGAAACTACCATTAGAATTAATAAACACTATTAGAAGAACTGTAATATTATTAGTACTAATAAATATAACAAAATTATCATTATGGGTGATCTATATACAAGGTCAATATGCAAAATTCCATTGTATTTTTGTATGCAAGTATTGAGCAATTTAAAATAAAATTGGGAATGTATTTCTAGTCACATTGTTGTTGTTAGGCGCCGTCAGGTTGAGCACAGCTCATAGCAACCCTATGAACAAGAGATCTCTACCCTGTCCTATCCTGTGCCGTCCTCACACTTTCTGATACACTTGAATCCATTGCAGCAGTCACTGTGTCAATCCACCTGTTTAAGAGTCTTCCTTTCCTTCACCAACCCTCTGCCTTTGAAAGCATGATGCCCCTCTCCAAGGAATAGCCTCTCTTAGCAACACGCCCAAAGTATGTGAGACGAAGTTTTATCATCTTTCCCTCCAAGGAGCACTCTGACTGCACTTTCTCAAAGACATATTTGTTTATTCTTTTGGCAGTCCCTGGGATATTCAGTACTCTTCTCCAACACCACAGCTCAAAGGTATCAATTCTTCTTTTGTGATCTTCACTCACTTTCCAGATCTGAGATGCACAACAAGTGATCAAAAGACCATGACCTGAATCAGACACACCTTAGTCCTCAAACTGACATCGTTGTTCCTCAATAATTTGGAGAGGTCCCTGACTGCAAACTTTCCCAGTGCAATATGTCTCCTGACCTTTGTCACTAGCTATTTCCATTATCATGAAATAACTCAAAATCTAGAAAAATATTTAACAAAAGACATGACAAACGGCGGTTCCGCAGCCTGGACGATTCGTGCTCGCAGCTCACCTCCTTCCTCTACAGCTTCTGCCAGCAGAGCCGGCGGCAGCGCATCATCCAGCGGAACCGCACGGAACGCCTCTCCGACCTCCTGGATTGGAAATACCTCGGCCGGTACTATATGTCAGCTCGCCACATGGCCCTGGCCAAGGCCTTTCCGGATCACTTCA